AAATTAGCAAAAGGGTTAACCACATCTTGATCTAAAAAAAAAAAAAAAAAACTACGCTATTTTCCACAACTGCTGCAGAACTAAACTGCAAACATATCCTCTTTCACAAAAGCCCTTTGGTAGTGAATTTCATGAACATCAGCAGAGTCATTGGGTTCATTCATGAATGAACAGATCTATAAGGATCAGGGACTTGAATATCCTGAGGTAGTTATTGCTGCTACCAGAGGGTACTCAGGGCATGGAACACGCCAAAACTGAGAGAAGGCAAATCTGAAGGGGAGACATACGTTGAGAAGAACCAAACAATCCTTCCAGTTCAGCAATCTGAGCAGGAAGATCTCCACCTTGGGCAAATGTAGGAACAAATGATTTCCAGTCTAAGAAATTCTTGAGTAGCAAGTAAGGGAAATATCCTGGGATCTGCTGACATAGAAGGGATCTAGAGGGAACATCATGTGCTGGGATTGGGGAGGCGGGGTGCACAGTCATGAATTTTCTTTGAAGATTTGCCAACTATATTAACAAGAAGAGCCTTGAGACTGCGTCCCTGGACAGAGTCCACATGTAATTCAGCATTAGGGTGGCAAGAACCCAGGAGTCAGAGAGGAAAGGCCATTAAGGAAAGCAGAGAGATCAGAAAAGACCTAAGAACTGGAATTGCTGCCCTTAAAATTTCTAAATTTTGCTGGATGGCAAGAAAATCTCAGATGAGTTTTTCTAGAAAAAGAAGTTATTATTTTATAAGTAGTGATTATTTTTATCTGCAAAATATAGACAGTTGGTATCTCCATTAACTTTTTGACAAAACATTTTTCTCAGTTGTTGAGTTATAAGGCTACAACTAGTGTTTCTTAGATAGCCAGCATAGATTGACTGGAATTCTGGCACAACTGAAAGCATGAACCTTTCTGTTTTCTGCCTCCTTCTCTCCTTGCCCCCCTCCCCAACACACACACACACACACACACCCCACACCCCACTAACTACATCTACCTCTGGTAACACGTATTAGGAACACATTCTGGGAACATCGGTGGTTTGTGTATTGTTTGTTTTCCTCGGCATTGTGCGAGGGGGTTGGGGGATGCTAAGATTACAAACAGCTGCGATGTCCACATTTGGTTGACTGTGTGCGTGTCTAATAAATTTTGGAAGTGTGGGAAGTTGTCATAATACTTCATGAGTACTGACATTTTTCTATCATCTTTTTGGATTATTACAGAGGAAACACACCATGAAATTACCAAATGCCAGGATTAAGAAGGCAATTAAAACGTGTCCCCTTGAAACAATCTAGCTATACAAACTGGACTTGTTTGGAGGCATAAATGAGAAACCAAAGTCAATAGGCAAAGAAGACATCAGAAATTAGTATATGAATAGAAAACTACTGTTTGAGTGTTGAAGGGAGATGATCAGAAACTCATGGAGTTTCTTCATCTTGAAATCCAGATGGGTTCTATAGAAAGGGGTAAGAAGAAGGGAGAAAGACGTTCAGATCAAGGAAGAATAATTGGTCATAATGAAGCAGAGAAGGAATGAGATCAACTCTGAACAAAATGATGTTTTAAGAATTCAACTGAATCTATGTGAAAATTTCCAGTGTAGGTAGATTCAGAAGTTAGATGGCAAAAAGTGATGGGAGAATGGTTATTCCATTGAGCAGTTTCTAAGAACATTCATCAGTGGGCCCAGTGAGGACTTAGGACCAGAGCAATCCAACTAAAAGAGCTACAACAGTCCCAAAGAAAGACAATACAGGTGAGCTCACCAGGGTTTCACAAAGGAATTGGGGTCTAAACTCTGTGTGCGTTTTCCTGGCATATATTTCCACCAGAGACCTAACTGAGATGGATTCAAGGACAGGAGATCCTAATCACGACCATAAGAGACATCCTCAACTTCATTCATTCATACAACAAATTTAAATTGAGCATGGAACTGTTAAGAATTGTTCTAGATTGTCAGGATGTAGCTGCACAAAAGGCAGACAAAGTCCCTGCCCTTGTGGAGCTTACATTCTAAAGGAGGATAAAAATAGAGCAAACATGATTTTAGTTCTTGGTAGGTACAATGGGAAAAAAAAAAAAGAAGTTAAAGACCAGCACGACTGGCATTGGAGTGATTTTTATTTTTTTATTAGGGTAACATTGGGAGGAATTTCTGAAGAGGTGATTTGAGTAGAGACCTTAATGAATTCAGGGCATCAGTCAGGGAGGAATGTCATAGACAATGGAAAAAGTAAGTGTGAATACCGTCAGACAGAACTAAGCTTAACATGTTGTTTAAGGATAGCAAAATGGCTAGAATGGGTGGAGTAGACTAAGCAAGGGTAGTAATGGTAGACAATGAAGTGGGTGAAGCATGCAAGGGCCAGATCAGTAGGGCTTTGAAAGATGGGGAAAGTAATTCAGATTTTATTTTATGTGAAAAGATGAATCATTGGAGGGCTTTGAGTAGAGAAACACCATGATCTTATTTACTTTAAAAAGACCACTCTGGCTTCTGGGTAGAGATTGCAGGGTAAGAGGAAAAACAGAAGAAACATGTAAGACACTATCGCAAAAATGCGTGCCAGTGATGGTGGTAGCTTGACTTTGAGTGGTAAGCAATGGAAGTAAGAAAAAGTAATCAAATGTATTTTGAATGTAAAGGTATTTTGAAGACAAAGGTGAAAGGACTTCTTGTGGATAGAAGTAAAATATGAGAAAAATAGAGGACTCTGGGATGATTCTCAGGTTTAGGGGCCTGAGAACTGATGGAGCATGGTGTCATTCAACTCTACATAGATTTGATTCTATTACCACTTGTGAAAATCTAACTCTGCTGGTATAGCCACTCTGGAAAATAGATTGGCAGTTTCTTTCAAAAACTAAGCCTACACTTACCGTATGACTCAGCAATCACACCCTTGAGCATTTATCCCAGAGAAATGAAAACTTTTCCATACAAAAACATGTACATGAATGTTCATAGCAGGTTTATGTGTCATACCCCAAACTGGAAACAACCAAAATGTCCTTCAATAGGTGAATGGTTAAACAAACTGTGGTAAATCCATACCATGGAATATTACTCAGCAATACAAAGGAACAAATAATTGATACACACAAAGACTCGGAGGGATCTGACAGGCATTATGCTTACAGAAAAAAGCCAAATTCAAAAGATCATGCTATGTATGATTGCATTTATATAAAATTTTCAAAATCACAAAATTATAGAGATAAAGAACAGATTTAGTGGTTGCCAAGGTTAGGGATGGTTGGGAGGAGGTAGCAGGTATCATTATAAAGGGGTAGCATGAAGGCAATCCTTATGGTGACGGAAAAGTTCTGTATCCTGATTGCAGTAGTAGTTACAGGAATCAACAGATGTAATAAAAACCATGGCATAGAACTATACACACATATTGTACCAATGTTAATTTTGATATTGTACTCTAGTTACTTAAGATGTAACCGTTAGAGGAAATTGAGTAAGGGTACATGGCCCCTCTTTGTGCTATCTTTACGACTTCCTGTGATTCTATAACCATCTCAAAAATAAAAAGTTTTTAAAAATCTGACCATGTTCAAGCGTAAGCCAAAAAAAAAAAAAAATAAGATATAAATATCAAAAGTAATACAGTACTAAACACTATATCTGGCAAAATCTTATCTTTTAAATTTATAAAGCACCTTTTCCCAATACATCTTATCACTTTTGGTGGGTAGGTGATTATCAGTTTAATTGATGACCAGGATCCCTGTGAATAAGAACCTTTTTCTCCTGTAAGTCTCTGGACAGCACTTGGAATTCTCACTCTCCCACTGATGGTAACTTTTAAGCAGCAAACAGAGCCTGTGTTTTCTTGTTGCCGTAGCTGCGCATAAGAGCATTAGAGGGACAGGAAGGAAAACTGCTAACACTGGTACTGAAAACTACTTCCTTTAGCCTTAAGACATTGATCCTTCGTGGGTCAGCCACCATCCCTGGACTCTAACATCTTTCCTGTTGGTGTCAAAATCTGAACTTCTGTAATGCAGAATCTCAAAAAAGGAAGGCATAGTCCAAACACCAAAGACCATAACCCAAATGTTTATGAGGGGCTAATATAATCGTGGTAATCATGCCTCTCCCTCCAGTACAACTACCTTAAGGTTAAGCTAGATATCAGAACTAAATCATCTCAGTCATCTTGAAGGTGTGGATGGTGGAAATTTTTCTCAAGACCTTCTTTAAAACAGCTTCTTTGGTAGGTATTTCCTAAATATTCTGGTTCTCTGACATCACCCAGTCTATCTGTGTATAGCATGCAGTTTTTGACTCACTTTAGAAGGCACTGTATTCCCAAGACGATCATCCAGAAACTTAGTACTCAGATATTCATGCTAAATCTTAGACACTCTTATAACTGCTGAATGGGCTTATATTTATCTTTTCATTCTCTCATACAAGTATATATTCAGCCTCCAGTGTTTGTAATGGAGATTCGATTTAGACACATTTTTTACTAGTCTGAATTATAAACATCTACAGAAAAACTGTATCCTGAGACCAAATTTAATTCAGGAAGTCAATCATTAAGTAATACATTTTCTAAACTATGTATCTCACATCAGATTTGGTCTGCTTTTTTGACATTTAACACATTACCAACAAAACCTACGGAATGTTCCAGATGCCTTCTATCTAGATGCTGGCCCCTTCCAGAAAGCTCTATTACATACAAAGCTGTGAATAGAATTAAACCAGAGTTCCCATTTTGATTTTTTTAATCACTCTACCCACACGGGTTTTCTTGTGTTAATACATTCTAAAAAGGAAAAGGAAAAAAATATTAATTCATATTTTCATTTTTTAAGGCTGAATGAAAACCAAACCAATGCCTATCAGACTGATTAAACACCTTTCTATAGACTAAGCAGTTTCATTTTAATCCTCTCAGAGATTTGATCCAGGAAAATTACTAACAACAGTAACAATAATAATAATAACAAAAACAAAATACTTACAGCCAACCATCATCATGGCCACCGAAAACATCTTCTCCACATCAGTGGTAGGAGCTATGTTTCCAAATCCTATGGTTGTAAGGCTTGTCATGGTAAAGTAGAGAGAGGACACGTAGAGTGAGTCCTTGCTGGGTCCTCCTTCCCATATCCCTGCACTGGTATTGTATCGATACGGAGTCCCGATGCTCAAGGCCAGCTGGTAGAGCCAACTGTCTATTTGGATAGTGTTTGTGACTTCGTCAATGACCTCGTAGTCTCCGATGCTATACCATATGCAGGCCAGCCAGTGGGCAACCAGTCCAAACACACATACCAGGAGCACAAGGACTGCTGCTCCGTACTCCAAGTAATGGTCCAGTTTCCTAGCAACACGGCCCAGTCGTAAGAGACGCACCACTTTCAAAGAACTAAAGAGACTGCTGATTCCCTGAATAAAAGAAAGAAAAAAACAACATGACACTTTCAGAAAAGAAATGGAAGCAACAGTGCAATGGCTCACCTTCATGAACTTGATCATCTATTTACATGCTAAGAGCATAATCATAACATATCTCTGACTTTAAGTAAACAAAAGAGTCAAAATGATAAAGAAATTTTTTTAATGCAGATTCTTTCTCATTCAAAAGTAAGATATTTGTGAATTATTATATAAAACCATTTTCCATTAGCTAGGGAAGACAATTTATTTTCATAAATAGAATATAAATAGCACAGATAAGAACTGAATAAAATCAAGTAAGAAAACTGCTAAAATACAATACACAGAGTATAAAAATAGGGGTGATGAATTCTGACCTTTTATTTCTTCTTCCTATAAAATGTCTCTACTCTAGAGGCTTTCTCCTTATATCTTATTTTATAATAGCTATAAACAGCAAGAACTTCTGAAAAAGAGAGCTCAATCTCACTGGTAAGCAGACAGGAAATACCTCTGTGCATGTGGAGAGAATGAGCAAATATCTTTGTTGGTCCCACATGTCATGATAAGCACTAAATTTGTCCAACCAAGCAACCGCTTGCTGTCAAGTCAATTCCAATTCTTGGTGACCCCATGCGCATCAGAGTAGAATTGTGCTCCTCAGGGCTTTCAATGTCTGATTTTTTGGAAGTAGATCACCAGGTCATACTTTCAAGGTGTCTCTGGGTGGACTCAAACCTCCAACATTTTGGTTAGCAGTCAAGCATGTTAAACATTTGCACCACTAATAAATTTGAAGAGCACTGAAAAAGTGAAATGAGCTGAACTCAAAATATGTACATAACCTACAAAAGCCTACCATTCTTTGGCAATAATTATAAAAAAAAGAATATCAAGAGCGAACAACAGCAAGAAAATTCGTATTTTGTTGAGAAGCTTAAAATACCAAATAAACTATTATCCAAATGAAAATAGCATAGACTTTCTTAAATCAAAGAAGGTCCCATAGTTAATAGGCTACCTGGCAAAGCAGGATAAACGCGTTTGTGACGCAGCGATAGGTGTAAAATCGGCAGGGAGGAAAGAAGAGTGATGGAGGAAGCGTCTCATCTGATCATCACCTGCAAGTCTCATTTGGGTGAAAGCAGAGGACTCTATCAAGCCCATGACTTCATTACTGTTAGCTTTACCTCCCAGAGGGTAGACAAGGAGTCCAGCATAACTTACTCTGAGCCCAATTCTGACCCACACAGAAGAATTGGTAGGTGAAGTAGAAAGATGTGCCACTCATAAGAACCTAATTATCGCATCATAAATTTCTCTATAGCTAAGGCGAAGAAGGCTAATAATGCATTTGGCTTGTTCTACTATGTTTTATATTTTTGTATATGCTTGAATTTTTTCATAATAAAAATTTAAAAGAGAGAGAACAAAGAGAAGTCAAAACAAGAGACCCCGGGGCCCCAAAGGAAGTGAAAGGGTAGCTGGATCAGTCCTGGCAGTTTTCTGTCTGGACCCTGGTTTCCTTGAAGCCTGGCTCTAGTTCAGTTCAACTCTCAAGTTCTGTGGCATATATGCAGCTTTAAGATAAATTCTCATTTCACTTGAACACACTTTAGGACACATTAAAATGATGAAATTAGTAAAATTCAGAAGAATTGGCATAATTCAGGGACCTGAGATGCTGAAAGGTAAGAGTATTCAAGAATGTTTGGAAGCCCTCAAAAATAGAACTGTGTAATCATGAACAAGAAAAACAAAAAGAAGCATTTATTGAGTACTTCTATATGCCAGGCTCTGAGTCGGGCCCTGAAGACGTTAAGATACATATGCCTTGTTTCTGCTAAAGAAGCCCAAAATCAAAATTCATGAAAAACTCAAACAGGTAAATTTAAAAATAAAAAGTGTTGTTGTACATGTAGTTCTCTAGTTACCTCAAATTTCTAAAGGAACTGCAGGACTTCTGGTTAAATATTGCAGAGAAAGGTCATTTCTACCAAAACAATTAAAAAACAAAGAAAGAAAAACAGAGAGGAAATTTTCATTCTCATTCAAACTAAAAAACAGCCTTGACTCCAAACTAGAACGTAAAGAACTGGGGCCTACTAGAATTAGGTCGAACTGATAGGAAGACTCATTCCCCTAATCTCCAGTATAGGCACCTAAAGGAGGTGGGCTACCCTGAGCATCTGCTCACGAGTCCATTTATTCTCAAAACATATTTTCCATAGCTATTCTAACACTAACAAAATATTACAAATTATTTTGTAAGCATTATAAACTCTCCCTGCCATGGGTTTTATAACACCAATTTCTCCTGGTTTTTAACCAACTCCCCAACTGACATTTCTTTCAAAATCATTTTCTAGGGCTACCCTTCTCCATGCTTCCATTATGGGTTAGAATTCTCATCATGACTGGTTGATCTGATGCATATCCATTTTTCAACCATCTTCTACATATAGATGATTCATAGCCCACTTCTCAGCACAAAACTCTCTCTTGAGTTCCCAATGTGTAATCTAAATGCCTGCTGTACATTTCCATTGAAATGTCTCATAGGTGTCCAAAAGCTAATAGGTTCCAAAGGAAATCCTTCACTTCCTCCATATCAGTTCTCCATCTCCTACTGGAGTGAATGGTACTACCATCCATCCAGTCACTCAGACCTGGGGCTGAGGCTCAACTCCTCCCTTTTCCCACCACATCCATCCTGTTATCAAGTCCTGAGCATTCCACTACCCAAAATGCCTTCATAAGTGCTCAAAATACATATTACTTAATAAATCTCTCAAAAAATTCTTCTTTTCTATTCCCATGGCCATGTCTTAGAATCAGTTTCTGTGTTTGTTTTTTCTCACTTGTATTACAGGAATAGCCTCTCCATGAGCCACCTTATTTTCACTACTTTTAATTCACACATCATACTATACAGGTGACCATGGTATTTTTTAAACGCCCATCTATCTAATCATGTCATGATCTTATCTAAAACCCCTTAATGTTTGCTCATAACCTATCGGATTAAATATTAACTCCCTATTAACTATTAGATGCAAAGCACTTTAGGACCTAGAACCTGCCTACCTTGACGGTATCTCTCCCATCAATCCCTTTGTATTCCTGCCATGCTATTTGCAGTTCCCAAGAGGAGCATCAATATAAACAAATAACTAAAAACTATACCAAATTAGGAAATGTTGAACTAGAAAAAAGGGAGACTGGGACAGGAGATGAAAACTGTCTTCAAATAACACAATGCATGGATGAGGGCTGAGCTCATTCTGTATAATCCTAATGCAGGTAACCTGGATCAATGGTTGGAGATACGGGGATAGAAAGATGCAAGAAAGATTTCAATAGGCCCGTATCATACACTTCCACAAAGTAAATCAACAGGAAAACTACATCATTTATCACTGCTTGGAAAAGACAGACAAGGTAATAATAATATTGACAACTTACTACGTGCAAGTACTGTTTTAAATGTTTTCTAGGCACTCTCTACATGACTGAATGAAAGAGATTAAACATCTATAACATAGGGAATTCATTCTCTCAAAACGTAAAGGCTGATTAAAAATTTTCTCTTTTAGATCAATGAGTTTTCACTTTCTGATTGTGTCTTGCTATGATTCTCCTTATGTAAAATAATTAAGCCACCATTTTAAGCAGAAAAATATTTATTCCATATTTCTAAGTTTTCAGTTATGAAAAGAAATAGCAAAGTTACTTTAGAAAGAGGATAATATGTTTGCTTTGGTTATTAAACAAGGCTACAGATAAATGGATAACTGTATGAAAAAGTTCAGATTACATAAAAGTAAACAGAATGAAGTTATGCTATCATTTATAACCCAGAGATATCAAAGGTATTATTCTTGGAAATCTACAAAACAACACCAAACATTAATCTGGAAAAGCAAATGGGCAAAAATATCAAAGTATTTTGAAAGAGAAGAGCAACAAGGGGAGCTAACTTTACCAGATATAAAAATATACGATAAAACAATAATAATTAAAACAGTTTGGTATTAGCACACAAAACAAAGTCTAGAGACAAACTCAATTACATATAAGGGTTTTGTCTATAATAAAGTAGCTATCACCAAATTGTGATACAATAAAGTCTTCCTAAATAGCATTTAGTACTTTTCAACTTGCCACTCCCTGCCTTTGACACTCCACCCCAACCCACCTTAAAAAGTTGTAACCTAGAAATATCAAAGGTATTATTCTTGGAAATTGACAAAATTAAAATATCCCCATTAGCTTCTGTGGCAATAGAAATCCACCACTGGATTTGCTTCTGCACATATGATCAGCTCCTTCTTTACTTCCATTGGCTCCTTTCTGGATTTCCAGTCCCTAGTTGGTCCCTAAGAGTCCATCTTCAGAGCTCTTCTTCTTATGCATACTCTCCCCTTCTAGATTATCACAACCATAGCTTTGATTCTTGATTCATTGCCAATGAATGGATCCCAAAGTAGTACCAGTCATGCCTTTTTATGTGTCTGTTTGCCATCCTCATTTGGGCATCCTCCTGAATATAAAATCTGAAGTGTCTCAAAAGGAACTCTTTATTCAGTACCCAATCAGATTCCAGATTGAGTCAAGTTTCACCATACTCTGTCTCCCAGGCATTTATCCATCCCTTTTCTACCTGCTTTGCCTAGTTCCAGCTCTGATACTTATTTGTATCCCTGTGGTAGTAGTTGTAAAAATAACAAAAGTAATAATAACAAGGACTCACATTTGCCTAGAGCAGGGAATGCAAACACTTGGTACGTGAATCACAACTCTACACCCTCACCCATGGCATGCATCTTAATTAGTATGGCACCCTCTGCAGCCAAGCCAGATGTGAGCTCGAATCCTCCTCAAGACATGCTTTAAAGAAACCACTAGCAATCGACGGAATCAGGCACGAAAAATGAAATGTTTGCCATCCCGGGTAGAATTTTACAGATTATATGGCAGTATCACATAGACCATTGTTTTTTCCCAAC